TGCAGGTGGTAGTGGTGTTGTTATTGAGGGTGGGGACGGTGGTGCTAATGCGGGCCTGTAGATGACTTGGTGATGGCGATTTTGTTGCTGGTCGTGTGCAATGACTATGGCTGTGAGGGCGGTCGTGGCGGCGGTCGGGGCGGCGATGAGATGAGTTGAGGGTGGGTGTCTGTGACCTAGAAATTGTGACCGTGACTCACTGTAACAGAGTTGTGACCAACAAAAAATTTGATTTTTTCAATCTGTGACCTATAAAAAATTTTAATTTGTGGTGGAGAAATAATCTATGACCATAAAATTCGGTGGTCACAATATAAATTTTGTAACCTGTGACTGATGAACAAATTGTGACTTTTAATTTTTTAAGTTGTGATTGATAAACAAATTGTGACCTATGAAAATTTTGAATTGTGACCTAAAAAATTTCGCCGGAGTTGGAACAATTGCCAGAATCGAAAAAGTCGCCGGAATAAAGCGGCGGCGGAACGGTCATCGGAATTGTTGTCGGAATCAGAGCAGTCGCCGGAACGATCGCCGGAGTAGAGTGGTGATCGGAAAGGTCGTCGAAATAATCACCGGAGGTGGAGGTGGAGGTGGAAGTGGAGGTGGAAGTGGGGGTGAGTTAATTATATTATATTAGAATTAAATATTAATAATAAATTGATTTAATAATTATCATTTCATAAATAAAAATATAAAAAACCTGGTTTTTGAAATTTGAAACTTGTTTCTGTATTTTTGAAATTTGTGAAAGTAAATGCCTGATTTATGTATTGTTCCCTTAGCATATTAGTAAAAAAAAAAAAAATTAGCCTAGAAAAAATTGAGCCAAAAGTTCAGGGTGGGCCTGTCCTTATTGGGCCCTGCCCCTGAGATTCCCATTTATAGAGAGTTTTGGCAAAATAGCAAATCTTTTATAAGGGAAAAATTCATAAATAAGGTGTTTANATCAAAATTTATAGATCACACGATCACAGATTTTCAAATTAATTGATCACAGATTTTTTACGGTCACAAATTTTATAATTTTTAGGTCACAGATAAAAAAGTGGTTAATTTTATTGGTCACATATTTTCAAATTTGTTGGTTAAAGATTATTTTTCAGTCACACATGTCAAATTTTTAGGTCACAGTTAAATACTTGGTCACATACCACTAGCACTACTTCAGCCACCATCACCACACAAACACCGCCACCACCCCAACCTACCAACCCACCACACACTCCAGACTGGTCAAAACTCACACACCCACGCCGCCAATACCACCGCATCGCACCCATAGCGCGCAGACACACCCACCACCATTGCAGCATTCAGCCACAGACTATCAACACCACCACCAACCAGATCTGAACCTACCATACACAACATTTGTAGTCAAACACCACATCCACTTCTCCGGCTGCTGTTCACAGCGCACACACATGTACATGATTTTTTTGATAGGATTTTATAGATGCACACTTGTCAATATTTGATTTGCAGTAGGCAAAAAATAAAAAAATATCAATGTACTGCCAACCGCACATCGGTACAGAATTCATAAGAAAAAACCTGTACACTTGGCCTTTTCCATATGGATGATGGAAAGTGTAGGTTGCGGGCCCACCAATTGAGAGAAAATTTTCTATGTACGAGATAATATAAAGAAATATGACTACTCTCGATGACAAAAATGAGCCTATGTCCTGGTTTGTTGGCCATTCTTTCTCCAAAAAAATGTTTAGAATAGTGATTTTTAAGAGTGTGTAGTTAAAAATAGGGGGAAAAAAATTAGATTTACTTATAAAATATTTTATTACGTGCAAAATATTTTATTGCGTGAATGTATAGTTGAAAATGAGTAAATTATTTGTAGAAATTGAGTTTTAAATAGTGATTTTTTGAAGACGTATGGTTAAAAAATAGAAAAAATTTGAGTTTACGTGCAGAATATTTTACTGTGTAAATGTGTGATTGCAAATGAGTATGTAGAAAAAAAAAGTTTTCAAATAATAGTCGTCAAACAGGAGCTATGTTTGGCCCCCATTTTTTCAAAAATTGATTTTCTCAAAACTCATTTTCAACCAGACATTATTCCATAAAATAATATTACACGTAAATTGAAAACTTATTTTTACTTTTTAACTACATATTCAAAAAATATAAATCACTATTTCAAAACTCATTTTCTCAAATTTTAATTAAAATGGAGCCCAAACAAGGGCTCAGGTGCCGGGGGGGCTTACGATTTCATTCTATAAGAAAAATAACCAAGTCACAAACAATATAAGATCGTCCCCAACCATAAACAATAACCGACGTGATCGCCACCATCACTTCCACGAGTTGATCGAGTACGACCAAGCGGTCGAGCTCGATTGCGGGCAGCACGATGTGGGCTGAACTCAACTTGACCAACATATTGCCAGTCTAAGAACAAAGAATATGCAGGTCAACGGCCATCAAAAGCTTGTGACCTTGACCAGCACGAAAGTGGTCGAGGTTGACCAACTTTATGTTGGTCGAATTATCATGCTGGAGGGAGATTGAGGAAGACCGAGGATTTAGTCTTGCCCTTTGTTGCAGGTATTGGAATTGCTTTAGAGTTATCTTTAGAGTTAGTACTATGGAAAATGATTCGAAAACTACTAAGAGAACTTAACCGTATAACATCAATTCTACGAAATGTGCGAATAATAAATGAGTAATATCAATAGAATGTATATTTGACTGTGAGATTATATCACTTCGTAAACATAAACAAGAGTTGCTAATAAGTTGAACCACAATCGGATTCAAACACCCAGCTCTATTTTCTTCTGAATTACACTCCACTTCGTATATATTAAAGTCGAGTTCAACAAAAACCCAACTCCAAATTTTTTGCCCCCTTTCACAGATGCTAATCCCTGCTTTCGATCTCCAGTGGACTTTGATTGAGGGAAGTTAATGTCCTAAGCTCCTCATTTTCCTGGAAGGCTGCAGCAAATTGTTCCCCTATAGTCACCCATGCTTCTATTCCATCACCAAATTTTGTGTCAAGTAACGTGACCTGGTTGATCTTTGGGGAGAAAGAATCAGGCCACACAGAATTTGCTGCCCAAATAGGCTTCCCCCAACCAAAGTCAATATCGTATACTCCAAATCTGCACCAACTGCTGAAAAACAAACAAATACCCTCTTCAGGAATTACTGCTTTAGTCTCTTCAAGATTTTTGTAGTAGCCAATCCACCCTTCATCACCTTCCATTCTTCTGACGAAATTTCCATCAATTTGGCGTATTGATTCCCTCACTTTGCTCGCTAAATCCGCCTCAGTTTCGTTCATGCTTTGCACTGCTGCTGGAAACCATACGAAATTACCAAAAGAGTTTTCTGCGAAGGGTGGCATTGCTCTACTTCTCAGGTTCACTGAATGAATCATTAGAGAGGGCTGATTATTTGAACCAGATTTAGCAGCTGCACAAGCAGCCATGAAACATCTCCAGATGAATGCTGTTACAACTTCAACGCGTGTGGGATTTTCAACACCTGATTTCGCCTTAAGTGTGGATATGGCCAATAAATCAAAAACATATCTTCTTAGTATGTAATTCCCAGGGATCAAAAATCGCATTAAATCAGAAAATATAGATGAATCTACTGAAACTTTATCATTTTGCGGAAAGAGAGACTGTCCAATGTAATTGGGAGATACTTCTTCGTTAGATTTACGAGCAGTAGAAGCCCAAGATTTAAGAAATGTGCATAAAGTTACTGCATCTCCTACTGCATGTGAAACAATTACAGCAATGACCATTCCACCACAATCAAACTGGTTCACTTGTATCTTTAAAACATTACTCCCCGGAGAACTCCAACTCAACTCGCTGGGAAGGAAGTGTTGAACCATATGCAGATCGGGGTTTTTGAGAAAATCTGATAATTGACTTTTAACTTTGGCCACAACAAAAGGGACTCCTCCGTCATTGCAATCGATGGAGAAACTGTCTCTGATGATTCCAGCAAATGGGTAAAATCCAGTTAAAATCAAAGAAAGAGATTTCTTCAGAATTTGAGTTCTTGAAGAAAGGAGTCTACTGGCATCATTGAAATCTGAAGCCTCTGGAAGAAAATAGATAACGATGGGATGAAATAAGGGTGGATGCATCTGATCTAACAAGGAAAACTTGAAGTTCCTGAGGTGAAGAGGTGTTGATGAAGAGGGCTTGATGTTCTCTCTTGACATTATCTCAATGTCCATTGTTGTTAAGTTGGAAGAAACTTCCGAGCCACTCAGCACTTGCAGAAATAATGTGTCAACCTGTTTGGATAAGCTTAGTCATCCCAGCATCATCTGTCGGCACTGTCTAACTTCAACATTGCTTGGTGTACAATCATTAGGGAGTTGTAAATCTTACAACCTCTCACATTAGTGTAGAAAATTTGTGGGTTCCACACTAATGTGAGATGTTGTAAGATTTACAACTCTCTAATGATTGTACAAGTGAATTTTTCCGTCTAACTTACAAAACAATCATGCTCCGTTTACATCATTCTTTACATTAATTTTACATTAAATCACGTGACAACATTGATTTAAAAGAAAAAACACATTTCCCGTCCCCAACTTTTTGAAAACAAATGAGATGTAAACAATGATATCAACCAAACAATGTACACTTAACATTATTATTTACAAGATTTCGTAGAACAGAAATCGAAAATTCTTTTAGATGTGACATAAAAATTAAGAAATATAAACAATATATAGCTTGAGAAATCTATTCAGTATCAATTTAGTTTTTTGGTAAAATTAATGATGAAAGTGTTGCAAATCAATATTTAAAAAACGCGAGAGCCATGGAATCATTAAATAATCATTGGTGGGTTAGTGTGGATATATATATACAGAAATGATCTAATGAGCACCGGTGCTCATCTTATCCTAAGCACCGATGAGTTGGCACATTAATTCATTGGTGGATAAAGATTTTGTGAGTTCCAATCTACCAATGAATTAATATGCCAACTCATTGGTGTTTAGGATAAGATGAGCACCGGTGCTCATTAGATCAACTCTGTATATATATATATCACAATACATAGAACTTGTTTGATGCCATTTTTTGAAAAAAAAAAAAAGCAAAATTGATTTGATGGAAAATGTGTGATTAAAAAAATAAGAAAACGTGTTAAATTTACGTGTATTATTATGCTATTAAAAAATGTATGATTGAAAAAAACAGAGAAAAAAATATTTTAAAAAGAATGAGAATCAGACAAGGTCATAATCATCGTTCCAAAAATTGCAATAATGCGTATTAAATTAATGATCGAGGATAACTTTCTTGATTTGAAAAGCGACTTCCAAGATAACTTATACGGCAAATTACATGTATCCTTTGAATTATGAGATTTCTAATAATTTTATAGACATCTTTCTCTATTTTCAAAATTACATAAACATCTCATTTTCAAGTTTTGAATCATGCATACATTTTCAGAAGTTTATGACATATTTATAGACGCCACCTCACTTGTTCAAAATTTTGAACAATGCACATCTCCCTAAATTTATAACAGTTTCAGGGATACCCCTTCCTTTTCAAAAAATACACACCCCTTATTTTCAAGTTTTTTGAAAAACTTGAAAAAAGGGATGTTTGTATAATTTAAAATCAAGTTTAGTCATAGTTAAAATACTCGTTGCCGCTGAAAAAATATTGTACAATTAAATCTTTATAAAATAAAAATGTTAGGATCGAGAAAAATTATTATATAATGGGGTTACTAATTTATCTTTCTTTAATTGGGGTTGGAGTCTTTCTATTCCGTCCATATTTGTTCTTGAGCTTCTTGAAAGAAGTAAATTTTTTGAAACAATAACTGGTACCTTCTTAATCCAGGAGTAGTATGTAGGGATTTATGTCATCACAAACAAATAAAAGAATAATTTGACTATTATATGAATAGATTACGTAAGGCCATTCTTAGTCAACGTTAATAACCTATAGAAAGAAGCATTTCGACCATCGAATTGATAAGAGTGTTTTACACACTTAGTTACGGTCTTAAATCTACTTAACATTTGATTATTTGGATGGATTTATACTGGTATTAGTATTCTATTATGTTTCTAGGTGAAAATCCCCACTTGAAAGTCTACAAAGTCATATGAAGTGATTTGGAGCATTAACAGGAGAAAGATGATGTTAGATGAAGGCCGAAAAGTATTGAAACTCAAACCAACAACTTTTTGATGGGAGAATTTGAGTGCAGTTCCAAACTCCAACAATTTTTTGATAAAAATTATTTCAACTATAAAATATTTAAAAGAAACCAAAAAAACAAAGAAAAGAAAAACTTGGCCAAATGAGCGGCACGAGGCGCTCACCAGAAGCTAAAGCTTGCAAGTTTAACCCAAAGTTGTGTTAGGATTTGGGTATGTCGAAGATAATTGGGAGCTCTAATTAAAGTGTGTATTAAGAAGAATTTTATTTGGAATGCTATGTGGAATCATATTTAAGTTTACTTGACGAATTCTAATTAAAGTTTTATTTGAAAGCCCAATAGGGAGTTGAAATTTGTGTTGGATTTGAAGATGACATTGAAATAAAAAAAATAAAATAAAATCAAGTTTTAAAGTAAAGGATCCGAGAATGGGCGCCACGGTGCCACTGAGCCGGAGCGTCGGCCTGGGGCACTGCTGTGCCACTTGGCTGTTTGCTTGTTCCCTACTTCGTTTTTCACATTCTACTTCAACTATATCTCTACTATTAAGGTTTGAATGTCTCTTATTTGGTCTTTATATATAATTGGCTATTCGTTATGATTTAGTAAGAATTAGAAAAAATTGTAAATACAAATCTTTGTATTCTTTCTTATATTATAATAAAATTTCCATTATCTACAAATTCTTTTGTTCTTTTGATCAATTACTTCATATTATGGCGATAATCTCTTATTTTTTCCGACAATTTATTATTGGATAAATTCGGTATCTTCTTCGTTTTTCGTAACAAACTGGTATCAGAGCTTTTGGTGTTGAAATGTTGAGGAATATCGAGGTTTTGATCAAGTTAATAGCTTAACTTGATATTTCATGATGACAAAAACGAAGTATGATATTCTGCTCTTCCCTTTGTGGCAGTAAAGATATGAGCGATACTCACTCAGAAGGATTCGGACGATGCATTGTTGGAATTTGACAAGATGCCCACAACTTGAAGTTTGGAGGAGAAACAATGGAGGGATCGAAAGGCCATATCTCAAATACATCTTCATCTTTAAAATAATATTCTTCAAGAAGTTTTGAAAAAGAAGTCAGCCGCTGCATTATGGTTAAAATTAGAGCAACTAAGAATGACGAATAGTCTTACTAGCAAATTGCATCTGAAGAAACGTTTGTATTCTCATCGTTTGACAGAAGGTACATCTTTTGAGAATCACCTAACATCTTTTAAGGGAATCGTCATTGATTTGGAGACCTTGGAGGTCAAATAAGATGAAGATGATTTGTGATTGATCTTATTGTGTTCATTGCCCACTTCATACATGTCTTTTAGATATATGATTTTATATAGTTTTGATACTCTCACCATCGAATAAGTCGATGATACTCTATATTCAAAGGACTTCTGAAATATCTTGTTGCATCCGAGGGTCATGGAGATTGTCTCATTGTTGATGGTGATTGTTGAAGGGGTAAGTCGACTTCTAACTTCAAATTTTGATTACAAGAAAAAAGAGGCACTTGATAAACGATTATTATACATTGCAGAATAAATGAAAGTTGACTACAAATCAACAATCAGAAATTTCAGGGAAAGCAAGTATTGCAGAAAATCCTAACGGTGATAGAGAATTTTTACCTATGTTTGACTACAACTCCAAACCTGACGATACTTGAATTTTTTATACAGTTTGCACTTTTCATATGACTCTTAATCGAGATTTATTTTCAACATATGAAGAAGTTTCAAAAGGTGTTGTGATGATCAATAATAATTCATCCCATCGGATAGCTAGTATTGGTTGGGTCAAAATAAAAATGTTTGATGTGACGGCTAAACACTTGATGCAGTGAGACACGTTCCAAATTTGAAGAGAAATCTTATCTCCTCAAATACTATTGATTCAAAAGGGTACAAGTATACCTTTGAAGGTGAAGTTTTGAAAGTTAGTAAAGGAGCCCATATTTTGTTGAAGGGATGTAGAAAATCTCATTTATATAACTTGCAATGTTATACAAAATCCTTGAGCAAGCAGCATATTTTAAGAATTCGGGTGGATTTGGAGTTGGATTTTGTATCTTTGGAGTCTGATTTGGGGTCTTCTTTAAGGAATACACCTCAGTTTAATTTAAAAGTCATAGGTGAATCCACATTACCACCATCATCGATGCTGTCATTGAATGACCACCTGATTTAGTTGATGGTTTGAATTCGGTTAAAGGTATTGATTCTAGCCAAAATCCTTCTTTTGATGCATTCAGTTGTGATTTTGTTACATGGCTTGTTTCGGCTTTGTTTGGTGGTCATTAGATCACTTTTGCCCCTAGTTAAGGTAGCGAGGTGGAAAATGTTTTCAGTTGAGATTTTTTTATGGAGAAGTTCGTTTGTGTCTTTCATTATAGAGTTCAAGTTTATTCTTTGCAATAGAATTTGTCTCCAGATGGAGATTTTTTTTTTTTTTGAAGTTTTGTTCATTGCGATGAAATTTACGGCCGCCGTTCACCAGGGCTTCGGTCGCTAGCTCCCCTGTCATCAGGTCAACAACTTCCTTGACCTTCCGGCACTGGGCAAGCGTTAGCCCCCATACATGTCAAGATATAGATTGTTAACATTTGGGTGTGACCCAAATTCTTTGTTGAAAATAATTAAAAGTTTTAATTAAAGTGTACATTAAGAAGAATTTTACTTGGAATGACATTGTGGAATCCTATTCAAGTTTACTTAGTAAATTATAGTTTAAGTTCTATTTAAAAATCCAATTGGGAGTTATAATTTGTGTTAGACTTGAAGGAGACATTATGATGAAGAAAATCAAGTTTTGAAGTAAAGAACCCAAGAGTGGGCACCACGGCGCCATCGTCGCAGCGCCATGACGCCATGATGATTTTGGCCCAGCATCGGAGTGTCTAGCTTAGGACTCTGCAACGCTATGCACTGCACTGCGATGCCACTGGTTGTTTGCCCTTCGGGACTTTTTTGTCCTCTACTCTGTTTCTTACATTCGACTTCAACT